TGCCCAGTCCAATACTGAGAGAATATTGACCAGCAATAGAGCATTTTGATTGGTTGACTTTAGTTATTGGCCCTCTGACTGCCCGAGTCGTGTAATAAAACACCTATAATGCTGCCATACTTGACTAAGCTATTTCACTTCACTTCTGAGGTGTGCAAGAAACTATTGCACAACCTCAGACACTATAATTGTAACTTGTTGGGAAGATCCTTTGCTTATTGCATGGTAACAGCACACGTGTATGCTCAGTTTTTTGACTAATAAACAACTAGTGATCATCACCTTTCCATCAATGCTAGCAGTCTTTCCATAACCACGGCAAATGGATGTTACAAGGGGCAACTTTACTATAGAGGTGCGTACAGTGCAATAGGGAGCCAAAAGATTCCAAAACCTGCCATTTAATAGTACAAACAATAAACAGATGCTACAAATTACTCAGAGACTTGGAACCACAAACATATCAAAACTTATTAGGGGTTAAAATGAGTAACAACTGCCACAAGGCTCATAAAATACTGCCTTGTATCTATTTTATTTAAAAGGAAAGTAAACAAACTACATTAGGCCTACAACAAAGACTTCATTCTGTCTCAATATGCTTTCCTTTGAGAAGGAAAACTGGTACTCAAATGTTGTAAATTAAGCTCTATTGTGAAGGATCTCCACCCACACGCTCACAAGTCACATTATCTTAAAAAAAAAAAATTGTCAAATACTTGTAAAAAATAGTTGGTGGCTGGTACTAAACTCCATTTGGTCTCAGGCCAAGAGACTCATCAGATATCTTTTGGAATTTTCCAGCAAAGACATTGAGCATCCCACCCATGGTTTTGACCAAGTATAGTAAAGCAGGTTTAATTTAAACTCACTCTTGACCCTTTACACCCTAACATCAGTATGCCTATTCTCCATACTGTTCTCTATACATTTCCTAATGTGATGACAAGGAGAATTTGTTTACAATCAAGAGCTTCTTTAGTTGGTGATCATTTTCTTTAGTCTCATGACCTTACTGTATGATTCAGGGGTGATATTGTATGGAGAAATTAGATGCTAGTCACTTTTAGGGGTTCAAGGATTAATGTGACAAACCCTTACTTGTCATTATTTACAGTGAAATGTTCACTCCCGTGTTTCTCCATAACCCATCCTGGAGCAAACAGTGCTGCAGATAACTTCTCCTCTCTAAACACTTTAAAAGCCTAAAGAAAATGAAGAACAGTTTTATTTAAATTCAAAGAATTTGGTTACATCTTTATTGAATATAGTGTAGAACAGTTTTGATATAGGTGAGAAAAACATGTTTCAAAAATTATCAAATAGCTCTTGGCCTTCCTACACAATCATATGGTTGTTCTCAAAAGTAATTTTGCCACCATTGTTAAGGCCTGCTTATAATACTTTCTCCATTTTGTAAACACTGCACAACATTTCTTTTGCAAATGTAGAATGAATGCTTGTAGCAATTTGCAATGCATCCAAAAGATTTTTATCAATTGAAACACTTTTTGAACATGATTGAGTTTAAATTCTCATAAAAATTTAAATAAAATCCTCAAAAAATGGTAGTGATTGTCAATAAACCTTAATTTGTACATTTTAACTTGCTAAATATGTGTACTTCGCCTGTGGCAAACAGTTACCTAACAGTTACAGATCTGAATTAAAATTAGTGACCCTGTGGCCTGGTAACTAGTGCACAGGACTCAGAATCCCAAGCTCTGGCTCAACCCCAGCCCAGGTTACAGCAAAGTATTGTATTTCAAGAGTAAAATGGGTCCAAGCAAACTCTCAAGAAAACCTGACAAATGCTAGGAGGTTACTTTAGATTGACTTGAATGAAACCACAAAAATAACAGAACTACCAGCCACTTGGTACCACAGACACTGGGAATATGCACTGACTATTATGAAACACTTACAGGTAAGTCCAAAAATTTAGCTTTACATGATTTTAAAGTCTAGTGAGACTATCATTTGGCCCCGGCTGGACCAATACTCATGGTCTTAAAATAACTGAGGAGAATTTGCTACCTTTCTGTAATAACAAGAAATGGATAGATATTCTAGTCTTCTCGGATAAGGACGAATAAACCGTAGGCCCCGTCTCCTGCAGGGTTAGGGGTAGGAGACGTTAATTTCCCACTCATGAAATTACTGTGAGGTGGATGTCCTCCCCTAGGATGGGATGGGTGGGTTTACTGGGCCCGCAGTACTTGGCACAAGCTGTTGCAGTGTCCCTGCCTGTCAGCGAATCTAATAAATTAAGAAAATTAAATTAAATCATTAGTCCAATGTTAGACATACCACTTTAGAGTTATAACCACCACCCCCATAACAGCCACGCCCAAAAACATCCACCCCAACATAGACATCAGTTTGACGTGCTCGTCCAGCAGCAGCAGCTGATCTCATCAAGTGAGCCTCTGACCAGTTGTAGTTCAAAAATATTCCATCGCATGCATCAAAAAAAACTCTGCAGGGATAGAAAAATGACAGAAATAAATCACCTAATTCAATCTACTCAGTTGACTTAAAAAAAAATTATGTACATTTTAATCATTATAATTATGATAATGACAGTAACCACGACAATGACAGTGACACTGAAAATGATAAATACCTCTTACTAACCAAGTTCAAGGTCTGCATTGTAAGGTACAGAACAAGTTTTTTTGGCTTGGATTTATGGCCCACACACAAAACTAGCAGATCATCAAAGAGAGTGGAAAAAGAGAGGTCCCTAACTTACAGTATTTATTCTATGTCTGGGTTCAGATGCAGGGAGAGGATTTCACTTCAACCAAACTTTTGAATTTACTGAGCCTTACACTAAAAAACAACCTGCTAAATTGACCAGTCATAACCCAAGTACTTACTGAGAGATATAATAATTATGGTAAATATTATGTTAATAATTGACCTAAGGTGTGGATCATCATTTGGTTTTTTCAAGTGGAGCTCTAGTAAAACTGCATTTCTCTTTAGTAGACATGGTTCAAACAAGATTTTATAGGAAAAATCCATTACCTGAGGAGGGAATTCCACATTAAATTGCACACCAAAACCAATATTGCACAAATCGTGAAGCAATGAGTGCCATATTGGTTTTCAAGTGCAATCTAACATGGAATTTATAAGTCAATTAATGGATTTTCCTTGAATCATATGACTGAATCAAAACAAGAAGAAAAGAGAACAGCATTACTTATAGTACTGTTGTTATGTATACATGGATGCAAAACAATATCACTTCAACTTGCAATTCCACGCTAAATACTTCACTTCATTAACCAATCAAAATACAAGGTTTTATTCCGTTATGCAATTCTAACAGAAATATCACTTGTTTTAAACACTCGGAGCTGTCAACAAGAGGTTTTATTCAGCCAAAACCGTCCACTAGTCTACCATCTTAAGCCTGCTATCTTTGCTTCATAGAAGAAATGTGGACAGCAGCCATTTCTCACCATCAAGAAGAATTGAAGGCCCAATTTAACAGTAACAGGTATGGAAGAGTGAATTGTTACCATCTTCAAAGGTGGGACATTTTTACTGAATAGTTTCCAATCTTACATGTAATCTGACAAAAAAAACTGGCCTCCACAATAGCTTGGCCATCTTTTATTTGCCTTCTACTTTCAGACTTTTTGACAGTCCTGAACACTGGAGTATAATCAAAATTAGTTCTTTTTCAATGTACATGTATTCTGGCAACAAAAATATAAAGAGTTCTTAAAATATCTTCATAGATTGTCATTTTAAACTCTAAAATAATTATCATTATGATGAAATGAGCTGTTAACATAACATTTCTTTAATATAATGTATTATTATATGGCTGTGTCTCACAAGGACTGGGAACTACCGAATTCACAAATTTGATTGGCTGAAATCAATATTAAAAGTGGTCTAGATTTTCCCATCTAGACCGGCATCTAGACCGGTTTAGAAAAGAAAAGGTACAAAGAATTTAAAAAATTGGCATAGAAGACACAGCCATATAATAAACATCTTATTAACCGAGCTAGGTTGGTCTGTATGAGAGAATCTTGATCTCAATTGCTGGTACAAACCTCACTGTGTTCAGTCTGTACTGGTAACCTCGGTCAAGATTCTCCCATACAGACCTCCCGCTCGGTTAATAAGAACTAAGTAAAATCTATTTAACGCTAAAAACGCAGTCAATAAACTATGTTTACCGGTTTTTAGCATTCAGCTCATTTTGCCAACTAAGGTCTCCTTTGTAAGTTACACTGTCATACCAGATGACAAGGGAATTAGGGATGCTTTGATGCATCTTTGTAGTCAAGCTCTTCACAAATTCTTCAAGATTGTTGATCTGGACTGGCTGCAAGAAAAAGAACCGAGAATTGCAGTTCTATTATTATCCCAATAGAACCCCAAAAACAATCTAATTAAAAATTTCAAGTCAGATTGAAGCTAGCTGCGACAAATCAGGACATGAATTAATGACCTTTTCTACCCACCATGGTAACCAAAACAATTCAGATAAAGCGCTAACTCTTAAAGTATCAGATCTGGGAACTTTTTACAGTGGTTAAGCTCGAAACATTTCCTAAGTTGATGAAACCAAACTATCCTGTATTACACCCCACCGAGGCAGTACCACTGACCGTTTCTTTATAAACTTACCCCCCTCAATCCGTACAAGTGACTAACATCCAATTTCTCCTTAAAATATCGCCCCTGAATCACACATCAAGGGTAGTCAAGAATGAAGTAAATGATCTCCAACTAAAGAAGCTAATGATTGTTAAACAAATTCTACTTGTCAGCTCCTTAAGAAATGTATAAAGAACAGCATGGAGAATATGCATACTGATGTTAGGCTGTAAATGGGTTGATCATGACCAAAACACTTGAAGCTTAGAGCACAGAGTCAGTGTTTACCTGAATAGGGTTTTCAATGTTTAAAAGCCATCCATCAAATCCATAATACTCAGCTATATCAACAAGTTGATTCACGAGAGCCTCCAATGATGATGTATCCTCCAAAAACTTGCTGCACATAGCCACACCATCAGTGTTCTCTGTGATCAGAGTTCCTAAAATTGGTACCCCATGGGTGTGGGCAGCATTGGTCCAACACGGGGGTGGTATTGTAACAAAGTGATGACTGAAGTACACAAATACGTCGATAAACTGCCAGTGGTATATCCGATAACAATCGCACGAGGGGTAGCCTTGAACAAACCTGTAGGAATTAATTTTTGTGAAACATCATTTATTACGTTCACCTAGAGGTTTTTGGGTCTAACCCTTTACACCCTAACATTATATACTATTAGGAAAATTCATTACTTGACTTGAGATTTCTGCATTAAATTGCACGAGAAAACCAATATCGCATGAATCGTAAAGCAATGAGTGCAATACCAGTTTTCAAGAGCAATTTAACACGGAATTCACGAGTCAAGTTAGAGATTTTCCTTGAATCTGATAATTTAATAAAAACAAGAAAAAAGAAAGAAAACAGCATTACTTATAGTTGTTATGTACACATGGATGCAAAACAATATCACTTAGTCTTGTTTTGAACTTGCAATTCCATGCTAAATACCTTGCTTCGTTAACCAATCAGAATGCGAGATTTTATTCAAAGATGCGATTCTTGTTCATATTCTCCATACTGTTCTCAATACATTTCCTAAGGTGCTGACAAGGAGAATTTGTTTAACAATCAAGAGATTCTTTAGTTAATTATCATTCCCTTTACTTGTGACATCAAAGCTTGATTCAAGAGAAATTAGATGCTAGTCACTTTTAGGGGTCCATGAGTTAAAGAGCAATCCAAGATTGAAAAGCTCTTTTAAGATTTAGTATAGTTTCTATTATTTATTTACATTATCCAAGGGAATATATTTTATGAAGAAATCATGTTTTAACTGGTTGAGCTTCCCTTTTGAAAACTTTCAATAATTACAGTAAATATTATAGCAGAGCACGCAGAGCATAGCCTGATAATTATACAAAATGGTAATAGTGACCCATCAAGCCGAAAAAATTTGGACTTGTGACCATACAGGCATAGGTACAAGGTGCTACTTTTAGCATGTGCAGTCAACTGTACTGTGGGCATACCAATGCCACAGCTTTGTCCAGTAGTCCAGTGGTCAGTGCACTGCGCTCCGAGTCAGACAACGGGGTTCTAATCCTGGCTGGGGCAAGGCCTTGTGCCCTTGAGACGTGCGGAAAAAAAAAAAATCCAAGCTCCGCTTTTAGGCTTGGCTAAATCTAGATATTATTTAGTTAGTTATATTTTAATTATATAATTTCTCGGTTATTCATCTTAGATATGATAATTTCCAATATTTTGTGATGTGTTTAGTGGAAGTGAATGTTAGACTATATCTCAATTGTCCCTTAATGTGAAAACTGTAAATATTTTGATTTAATTTACAGGTCAGTCATGAATGAACTAATCACAATTAAGACCAGCACACAAGTGCAAACCTCAACCTTCAAACTAAGTACCATTGCTCTGGATATATCAGCAAAGTTGAAATGGCAAATTGGCCACTGTATTGATTACAAAAGCTGACGTTTCGAGCGTTAGCCCTTCATCGAAGCGAATGTTTCGCTCCGACGAAGGGCTCACAATTAAGACCAGCACACAAGTGCAGGGGTCACGGTTATGTCTGTAAAAAAATAATTTGGATATATCAACAAAGTTGAAATGGCAAATTGGCCACTGTAACGATTACAAAAGCTGACGTTTCAAACGTTAGCCCTTTGTCGGAGCGAATGTTTAAAATTCAGTCTGGTTCATACTGGGTAGAGAACCCACCCAGGGAAGTGTGCATATAAAATGACAAGTAATTCCAAAAACAACAAAGTCTTGTTCAAATGAAAATTTGGTGAGCTTAGAATCAGATGACATTGCTTTCTGTCTCGCTCTAGCTCCCTCAAGACCTTGACTGGACAGAAATTCTCTGGTTTGAATCTACAGAATAATTGACATGGTGCATTTTGACCAGTGGAAAATGAATCAGAGCAAATACCTTTTTTTGTAATTGATGCTCTCAAAGCTTATGTGGCATTTCTCTGCATAATAATCTGACTTTTTCATTCACAGCTGTCTTGTTAGTTAAAAGTATTTGGAGGGTGGATTCTAGTATTTGATGAATGATCAACAATTTCAGCACTCTTTTTTTCTGATTTTTCTAGGACTGACTATGTGCATATAATACTCTGGGATGTACCACCGCAGCAGTTTGTTGATTCATTTGACTCACTCTTGAAAGAAAGGTCAATAGAGGAGACATTTTCATGACTTTTTTTTATCACTGTCATTCTTGTGATATCTTGGTTGGTAGTAGAAAGTTATCAAAGCAAACTTCACTCATGATCTTCCAATAAATTTTACAAGCAAGTTATGTTCAGTGTATGATAGATGTTCCATTTTTTAAAGTTTTGAATTCCAGATTATTCTCTTCAATTCTTTTTTATTCCTAGGATTTATTGCTATGATGGCTTTTCAGATCCTCTTGGATGGAATCTGACAAGGTAAGACATTCTTACATCACTTGGCAACTATGGACAGTCATAAGCTTTGAGTTTATTCTATGTCAGAAAAACAATTCCTAAGGCGTTACGACAAATCATTTGAGCGTTAGGACAAACCGTTTGAGCATTAGGAAAAACCGTTAGAATGTCTGAAAATCCGTTAGCTATCCGTTCACTATGCGCTAGTTTTCTAACGCTTAATGGAATATGGTTAGTATACATTTTCCCAAAGAAGGTCATATATTTAAACACGAAGGCGCGCTATATATTTCGCTCCGACGAAGGGCTAACGCTCGAAACGTCAGCTTTTGTAATCATTACGGTGGCCAATTTACCATTTCAACTTTGCTGATATATCCAAATTATTTCGTTACTCCCACCGACGCAGCCCCAAACAGTTTCTTTCGAAACTATCAGCCTTTATTCATATGTACCATTGCTGTTTGCCGTACAATCTTCTGATGCCTAATTGGCTTTTCTTTGAAACACAAAGATGACCGTATATATTTATGGTAACCAGGGTTTTATGATTTTTCACAGTATATAATCAGGACCTACGACTTTGGAGAAGTAGTGTGAAAGATCCACAAACCTGTCATAAGTGTACCCTCCTTTCATGTCATGACACACTAAAGTCCGAGGCCTCTTCTCTATCTTTCTGCCCTGTTCACTCAATGGAACCGAGGCTACGTTAAAAAAGTCAAATCCCTGTCTCCAAGACAAGGCCTCGTCTAATGTTTTAAGAGGTCGAGTAACCGGCATACCCGTTTCCGGATCGAAACTGTTGTCGGCGACTTGCCTGCTTCCGCTCATTTTACTTGGTCCGTCAATGAGCTTGGCATACTGCATAGAAGGCTGACGAGCTTCAGAATTTATTTTTGCTTCCGAAACGTCTGGTTCTCTTTCCTCTTCTCTCAGTTCTTCCGGGGAAATACTCTCATCCTTTTCACCGGAATTAGTAGACACATGTATGTCACGAGTTTCGCTTCGGACTCCTTCTTGGTTACCGATAAAATATTTCAAACGCGCCTCTTTTACATTTTCGGAGGCTTGAACCGTTAATTTTTTCTGTGAGTTGATATTCCCTGATCTAAGATACTTCCAGAACGTATAAATTCCGAATAAAACCGCCAGAACTGTCCAAAGCAGTAGCAGTAACATATCTTCCGCCATGTTTTATTTGTTTAGATGCCACGGCCAACCGGTGGCACTCACTTGCAGCAAAATGCAAGCTCGTCCCCAGGAGGTTTCGGTCAATTTCTAAGATCGGGGGATGGCGCCTGATTGAGTAGAGAAAGTGGATGTTTGTGGACGTGTCATATGTGTGGGATTAGCCCTTAATCCTCTTACCTACCAACCGCGCTCGACTTATAAATATCCTGATGTGATTATGCAACAGTTCAGTTGACCTCAGGCCTTGCTCTTGTAAGCTCCTCTTCCCATTAAACCAAAAGCTTTAAATATATACTTGGCGTCCACTCTTCTTTTCGCCTCCGATAATCGCACAATATGCACGCGCTATTGGCGCGTATTTCGCCGAGTTTTTTGCTTTTTTTTTTAAGGAAAATGTATAACCGATGACTAGTTAATATCTGAACTTTTTCATAATTTTGATTGATTGGTAACGGGACCTCGTGTTGTCCAGTTCTGCATACTAGAAAGTACTAGATTGGACTCACGCTTCGAGGTTGTCCGATTTTGTTAATCACTCATATATGATTACAAACCGAATAGAACTCCATTCAGCCCTATTACCGTTACTTAATTTAAAAAATTCTTATGACGCACATAAGACACAATAACTAAACAATGAGAGTTTTTGTGTTCAAACGAAAACGAACGCACTTTGGTTCACAATGAAGTTTTTTTCTTTATTTTTAACAGCGTGAAGATATCGTTTCTAAGTATAGTCAACTTCGTTACGGAAAAATAGCCATACGACTAGAATATACCACAGTAGAACTTTTGAACGTTGTCTTGACAGGTCATACACACTTTGAGGTTGGTGGTTTAAATGTTGTTCAACTCACGGTCAGTAACCAGCGAGATATTGATTTAATTCTGAGATGGAAAGAAGAAATGCCTATTCTAAGAGTATTTATGCTCCAACAGCAGCATCTCGAATTGCTGATGCAAAAAACAAGCGTGAAACTCGGCTGCTTGTGCAAACCAGTAGAGGATTATCATGCGAAACAGACTGGACATTGAAAAACTTTTTCAGAGAGAAGGCCAAAACTAATGCTTTTTTGCAAAAGATTCACCGAAGAAGCCCGGGAATGCTGGCTTTTCAGCGTAGTGAACATGGAAGGTTTGTACTAAACTGGAGAAATGGTTTGCTACCTAGGGATGAAACGAAAATTCAAGTGAAAACTCGTGGAGGAAAACGCCTCAGTCAGGTCCTTAATCAGAGAGGAGAAACGCAAAAACGGATACAAGAGTATTTAGTGCGAGATTTTCCAGGCAGGACTTCAAAAAATGGGGAAGATAGCTCCGAGTTGAATGGAAAGAATGATGGAGTTGGATTTGAAAAAGGAAAATTGAATTCTGACGCACAACCACCCCAAGCAACCAGTCTAAAACACTCTGAAGACAAAAGTGCTAAAGAAGTCGAGAAAACGAACGTTTCCGTCAAAAATGTTTTTAAGGTTCGCTCTAGAACATCAGGGATATGCTTTTGTCATTGTCATGAATTAAATTTACCACCCATAAACCAGCCTAAAATTGGAAGAAGATTGTCAGACACTGAACTGGAACCGAAGTTCCCATGCCACTTTGAAAAAAGCTGCAACCGAAAACTCAGTATGCCTATTATTGCAAGGCATGGTTGGCTGTCGTGATGAATGAAGCGTGTAAACTTATGACGTCAATGTTCCTCATCCCACTGTGAGGAAAGACATAACAAATAGGGACTAGCGTGGTGAGAAAGGTCTGTGAGTCCAAAAAAGTTCTTCAAAAAGCGCCGATCAATCTTTTCGCCTTTTTAAACCAATCATTTGAATTTTTCAACAAGTTTTGACAGGTCACATATCATTTAGTCGTAATATTTTACGGCCTAAAACAGGTGCAATTGCGAAAATAAACATTATAGACAAAACGATTGACGTACAATGCTTTGTTTCGTTCGAGAAAATTCTGGATGAATTGCTATTTTAAGATTTGCGGTTTTTGGTTAGTTAGAAACATTCCCTTGATTTTAAACTACTCGATCAAACTGTGTGACAGGGATCGATATACAAAGCCATTGTGTATTGGAACATTGTAATTTGAAGAATAGACCGAGAAATCAATGATACTGGTACTGATACTTGGTACTTCTCGTTAATTCGTCCAAGCGAGTTGGTAAAACCCCCCAACAAAGACTTTAGCTAAACGTCTTTGAAGTCTTCGTTTCTCAATATGCTTATCTGATTTGTGGGTGATTATTGATGCTTTAAAAAGTTGATTCAGCATATGGTGTGATTAATCGCCATGCGTTTTTAACTAATCGGCTTCGCTAACCGCAACAAGGTGTGATTCCGGCTTCACAAATTAGCATTAGCTACCTTTAGTTTAATTACAAATTTCAAGTTCAGGCATGTTGTGACCCTTTACCTTTTACTTAAATAATGACGTCAATTCCAGTTGTCAATTGTATTGTAAGACGATCAAGGTTCGACTGAACCACGAGAGCAATTGCACATCTTACATCGTACAGGCCCGCAATACGTCCTACGACGTGATGAATCAAATGTTTTACTTTTTTAACTCCAGAAAAGAGAATTAATTGAAACACAAGGCTTTTAAGAAGTATTCAAAGAACTTAGAGGCGCCGTTATGACAATTCCAGTGATTAAAGACCATGTAATCACTAATTAAAGAGAGACATATCGAAGCTGTGGTAGGGTATACGAAGATCACAGATGATAACATTTCATTACCAAACGCTGATAAAAAAAAATTGAAAATGCATCTCGTATTTGAACTTAAACTTTGTCAAACTTGAAAGCATCGCTAACGCAAATGAATCAATAGTGAATTTTATTTATATTGAGAGAGGACAGACTAAAACGTTCCCCATCGAGTTTTGCACTCGCTGTAAATCTTCGAGTTTAAACTCAATACAAATGCACAACATCTGTTAACAAAGCTACAAGAAAGGCCATGTAGTCTCACGAAATATTCAGCTGCTCTAGTCTTTAAAGAATGAACACATTGCCGTAGAAATGAAGATAAAAATGCAAAATGTTCAAGTGTGAGCGATCGATTTATTTAAAAAGCTGTCGCCACCCGCTCAACCACTAAGATGCAAGACTCAATCTGGTCACCGCATTTTCCCGCGTTTTCCCGCGTTTGGTGCAATTAATTTCCGTTTATTGGCTAAAAAAGTTCTCCTTGCCTTTTTTTTATATTGAGCTATGTTTCAATTGGCGCTTGAGCCTTATTTAAAGAGGGTCGAAAAACACTGATGGTTGTAAAGCAATGTTTCTAACAAAAATGTCAGTGAATACATTACTCAGTGCTAATTTATGCAGCAGCCTTCACTTGAGCCGCCAAAGTGGAAATGGAGCGATAGTGTGTATGACTCGAGCGTATTGGCCATGACACAGTTGGATAGTTGGCCATACCTGTGCTTCTCTCAAAATTCTTTCCGCAAAGGCTTCGACCATCAAGAAAGAATGTAAGATCGTCCTTTGTTTGCTTCAGAGGTCCGTAAATGACTCAACCCCGGTAAATTAAAAAACTATGCTTTTTTGTCGGCATAGGAGTAAGGCACCTTCTTTTTACCACAATTTGGCCCGTGGATGTTTTGTCCTTCGCCGTTAAGGGCCGATGAAAGTTCTTGACATTATCAAGTTTGCTAAGCTTTTGTGACATCTGGGTTACCATGAGCGGATTGCTAAATTTTCGATGCCCGCTCTCCCTAAGGATGCAGGGACATTTCACCGGAAATAAGGGTTCTGAAAACGTCCTCTGCACGTTTTCCATCTTGTTTGCAGAAGGTACAGATTGAACGTGACATTGCAAATGCGAGATGCATATACCAGAGAGTCGAGAACGTATCCGGAAAGGAGCTTTAGTAGTAACTTTCTCCTTTCGGTGACTTTCAAAGCTTTTCGTGGCAAAAAGAGTGTCCAAATCAAATCCTTCCTTCCCAAATACATCTCCATTGCTTTCTTCTTTCGATTCTTCTTTTTGGGTGTCTTTAGACCGTCCACTTTGTCCCGGTAATTCTCGCGTTAAAAATTCTTGAATTCGTTTCTGCGTTTCTTCTGTCTGATTAACGTCCAGACTTATTCGTCTTGCTCTTGGGACTCTCACCTCATCTCTAACGTCACTTGTCGACTGAAAACTGTTCGTTTCTACATTACCTACAATTTTAATCTCTCTAAAGTCATCACTCTTAGCACTCAACAAACCATATCTTCCTTCGTGAAGTTTTTGCAGATACGCAATAGCCTTAGCTTTCTCTCTGAAAATATTTCTCAGCGTAATGTCTGTTTCAGCGGCAAACCCTTGGCTGGTTTTGGCCAGTTGCAGACTTTCCCGCATGTTTCTTACTCCAGCCACTCGGGAAGCTGTTGTAGGTCTAAGAAAAGGCCTGGAATAGCTATTTCTTCTTTCCATTCTTGATCTGCTGTGAAGTAATTCTTCTCAGTTAAAATACAAAGGGTGCGAATCAGGCCGAACCTGGTTAGCAGGTCGATAAGATTCCCTCTGACCGAACGACCACTGGCAATACTTATACAAGTCAGGCTAGTTATCTGAGATAACAAAACGCGTTCAAACGTTTTGTGTTCCTCAGTTAAAGTCTAAAAGCTGTAAATTAGCCAAAATTATGACCAATCAAGTTTCATGCTGAGAGAGGCTTTAGATAATAAAACAATTATCCGGACAACTGGATTTATTTGTACTGATATACAAAGAAACATGTTCCTTCTTTGTTACCTATATCCTGACCTACGGATATGTCTTAACTTGTTAGCCATAGCTACAGCGTTAGATTCGTTTATTTTTGCTAAAAAAACATTGATGCAGACGTTTAAATCGAGGAAAATCTGGAGCAAAATCCGGCAAGAAGCTACAGATGCAGAGAAAACACTCTTGAACACCTTTAACAATAACGTAGCTTTCTATAATTAAAAAATGTCACCACTGAACTAATTATGAACACAATCGTAAGTACAAGAAAATCCCTGCCCCTGCATAAGCCTTAATCCCCCCAAAAGTAATTTTACAAGGGCAGTTAAGTCTACTCAGAAAATAGTACATAACTGACAACATTCAGTATAAAATCAAAAATTCTATCATCTCTGATAACTAGAAAAGAAAGATAGCGCCATATCTGACACACTGAATTGGTGCAAGCTTGGAAGACCTTGAAAGGAACAACGAGTTCATTTAAAACACCCCGGGTGTTAAATGACCACAAAGTCAAAGGAATGATAATACCTAATTTTTTAGTCACTTCTACGATACACTGAGTTATCGAAACAATGCGTTCCATAAAATTTGGGCTATGTATTTTAGAATTGATCATGACCATCTCCTAAAAGTTAAGTATTGTGCTGGAAACCCTCAACCAAATTTCCCTTTTTTTATCGAAACAGTGCGTTCCATAAAATCGGGGCTATGTATTTTAGAAATGATCATGAATTTCTCCTAAAAGTTAAGTATTGTGCTGGAAACCCTCAACCAAATTTCCCTTTTATTTTCCAGTGGAAGTATGAACCCATCACTAATTTAGCAGACTTGCGCAATATTTTTTGTATTTCTCACGAGTCTATTCATAGATTTTGATTTAAATCAGTAATTAAAAGATATTTCAAGTTACGACACCTATTGTTTCGATTATGGTGAGCAAAATGTCTATTAACCACCGACATAAAGAAGAATTTTGTTTAAAGATTTTTACATTTGAATGACAAGAAGCATTTGACGTCAATGGAATTCTGTCAGTATACAGTAAGCATCCCTACCTCCAATTAAAATGCATTGCGCAAGTTAACTTTGCAGTTTACAACGCAAATTTTCATGCTTCATTAAAATTCTCCTAAGGTCCCTGTTTCGGGTTCCAGACACAAATCAGAGCAAATTGTTTCACCACTGTTNGGGGGGGGGAAGCCGGAGGAATGGAGTATAAAGAGGGGAAAAGTGACTGCTAATTAACCACCATAAAGGAAGTTCATAAGAAAATCAGGTAAGATCAGGTAAATTTTATCGTGACCCAAACAAAATCCTCCAGCCTCCCCCACCACCAGGGGATAAATAATGATTGGTCAAAAAGCATAAATCATGTGCGCGCTCTGATTGGTAGAGGATTGCGCCATCTCTCGCTATAGTCACCTCACGCGATATGATTATAGTCGGAGCGCTAAATTCAAAATGGCTGCCTCGTGTTTTGTCAGTGTTACCGAGGAAGTGATGAACGCGATAAGGACAATTCAATTCCAAAGAGCACAAAAGATGCTGTTTAGTTTGGAGTAACACTTTTCAAAAGAAAAATATGAAGTTTTTGCTGACTGATTCATATGAACCTATCAAATTCCAGTGGAAACTGGCTCCTTATCTCGATATAAGTAATCAAAACAGTTGAAACATAATGGTTTCAACATCAAAACGAATATTTAAAACATAATTCGAACACATTTATACTAAAACAATTATTCGCCTCAGGCTCAGTGAATATCGTTGAATAATCCCCTCGACTTCTTCACGGGGATTATTCAACAACGTTCACTTCCCCTTTGAATAATTGCTAAATGTTAGTCACTTCTTTACATTATCGGCCATTCCGATACACGAAACAAGGACCAATTTGCATTTTTTTTTTTCGTGGAGGGAGAGAGAGTTGCCCGTTCATGCAGGTTCAACTCTATAACTCCTTTAGCTAAGATATCAGCCAATAATGAGCGTTTTGGCTCTCCCTCATAAATCTGCGATTGAGTAGCTTGTCTCCAAAGTCTTTCAGCGGAGGAAAAGAGGAGGGACCCTGGAACTGACCGTAGGCTCTCTCGAAGAGGTTCATGATTTTTTTTTCTTGATCTCTCGACACAAGCAGTTGGATTATTTCTCCAAAAAAAAAAAACAAAAAAACACACCCACACTTCAATATATCCGAGGTCTTACAATGTAAAAGTGACTTCCTACGTTTTTCGATTCCAGATCCGGAAAATGGAGATGGTGGTTCAGATTAAAACTCAAATCATTTCAATAAATTTAAATTTGTGTGACCCACGAAATTATCCATTGCGCAGAGCAAAACTTTGTTGTGTAAGATCTGGAAAAAAATTACGTTTTGGATCTACTCATAATCTTTCTCTGCCACTTGAAATAAGGAGTAACTTTCTGTGCTAGACTCATTAATTACTATCAATTAGTTTTGCATAGAAATCACTCGTGAACACGATTTATCAAACTCTTTTGCGGCACATAAATATAAACAAAAGTAAGTTTCCATGCAGGATCTAGCGCATAATTCAACAACTAATTCTTGTTGTCAAGGAACGAAAAATGTGATAATAGATCCAATTTTTTCGAGATGATGCAAGAGAAACGTTCGAGAAAATATTGATGGCCAGTAGATTTCTAAAAGCGATAGGTACAGCTGAATAAATATCCAAGAAAGATCTGCGACAAGTAGCGTATCCGAAGTTAGAAATTATTTGCACTTCATCAACGGAAGTGGAGCCGATTATTTGTTTTTTCGCTCGAGTCTCAACAAAAAATCTTGAATTGATTGCTCTTGGTGCTTTGATTTCTCAAGACTGTACACAAAAACAACCTTAGTCGCTGACATCTAATCGGGGCGCGCTTCTTCTATATTCAACACAATCTTTTGTAATGAGGTTTTCTGTAGACCTTTGTCAAAAACGCCAATACATTCGCAAATAACATTTATCATTTCTCGCACACCTTCGGCAACAAACGTAATAAATTAAAATGAGAGATAAAGACCCGGTTATCGGGCAGGATCTATCAGGTTCTGTCTAAACGCATTCTAAATATCGCTGGTGTATCTACAATCGCTACAATGATTAGAAAAATAAATTGGAGCCTTTCCGTGCTGCAGAGAAAATCTTAAGCTATCAAGGATCGCACTGCGCATCTGACGCTTGACCGTTTCATTTAACGTAACAATAGAAAAACGGTAGTCATTTATTTTATTTAAATCCCAAATGCGTTATATTATTTCCGAAAAAACGACGCTGATCAAACACTTCGTCCAGTGAAAACGTCGAGGCTTTATCAATGTGACACTGTCAAGGATAATGACCTATTCTAGTTTTTGACTCAAAACAAATTCTGATCTAAAGTAGAAATGTCACATAATGAAGTTTACTTGCGTCTTTGAGGACACTTTGAACGAGAGACCTACGCATGCGAGTCACAATACACAACTTCCCCCACGGTTTGAACTAAGCTGGCTTTAAACTATGGCGTTTCTTTTTCTTCTCATTTCGTTGGCTCCTAAAACGATCGGACTAAAAATGTGCTTTGAGAGCGAAGCTGAAAAGTAGAAGAAGCAGTATTTGCAGTTTCAATAGCGGAAAGCAGGCGTTTTCTCTGGTTTGAAAGGTTTAAAAATCAATCAAGAATTCACAAATAGCGGGAAAATTCGATCGATGTCGTCGGCTTCCTTCATCGTTAAAGCACTACTTACCCGGACCATTTTTGCTGGCCACATTATCGTGTCCGTTTGGTGGGTAGTGCAACTGACACTTAATACAAAATTGTGGCATCTGGCATTCTTCGAAGGATTGCTGTTTCTGGAAACGCTGTTCTCTGTGTTCTACAAAGGGGGACATGAGTACAAATGGTAAGAGATATATTGAATTGTGTTTATCAATAGCATTATTCGGTTGTCTCTATAGACGCGGGTGTTCAGCTACAGCTCTGGTTTATAATTACGGAATGATAAGTTACTCGAAAAAATATTAAGTTTTGCTCAGGAAAAACTTAAACAAGTCGCTACATATGGTGCAAGAAATTGAACTTAAATATTATAGAACGAACTTGAAATAAAACACTGCTCGCATGGGAAGAAAAATCCTTTGAGATTTTTTAGGCCCGGCGAACCTCAACAATTCTCAAATCACAGGACAGACATGGCATGGTAAATCCTGAGGCAGCCTTTTTTCGTTTATTTCTTGGTTTGTTTTGATAAACCGGTAAGATTCGGTAGCTATGCTCACAAATTTATCGCCGGCAAAATAGACGATGAGGCGAAAGGACTGGAATTAGAAATATAAATTCATTTTATAAGGCAAACTTTTCAGCTAAACACGTTTCCTACTATTTTCCATACGACAGAAGGAACAATTTTGAATGCTTCGTAAAACATTTTACCGGCAGAATATGTGCAGTGTTGATATTTATATTTTTTTCAATTTGAGTTTTTAAAACAATTTTATCCAATTTCCAGACTGATGTGCTATTTCCAACCAACAGTCATCGAAGTCTTACATTTGTAAATTATCTTTGTATACCGTTGTCTTGATTGACTGACGGAAGAAATCTATGCCATTAAAGTTGGATTACGCTATTGTCTTTTAAATTCTAGCCCACTGATAATTAACAACCTTCAGAACAAAGTGGGTGTGAAATACGGTTCTTCTGAAATACTCCAAATAGGGATTCTGGCGCCAAAACGATAACAATTCAGCATACAACTGAAAATTGCTCAATCTTGAAAAAACGAACAGAGTCATTTTAAGTCTGGAAATTTTGTAACGAGAACCTTAATATGCTACAGCGGAGCCGAATTTTTACAACTTGATTTCATTCAGAACCTTTCCTTTATTTTAGCGAGGATATAGAATGTTCTCCTCTATACAAATCCGGCCAATGCAGGTGTTTTAAGTCGAAGTGCAGAACACAGGAAATCTCAGAATATTATTCAATTTCTAGTGAGCTTTCACTCAGGATTAAGTGGGTCTTTTGACTGCCTTTGGAGAGCATCTTAATTAAAAAGGTCCTGTACTGAGAAACACTCGATGACGCAAAAGGCAAGTTTCTCAGCTAGAAAATGGTTCTTCTTCTATTCATTGACAGCTGCCGCGATTTTGCGCTTGTGATCCAGCTTCGAAAGAAAAAAAAAAGGGAAGATTACCCCGAATAAACAACTTTTCATTAAAAACGATTTAATCGTTTTGCAAAAAGGAAGTACAAAGAATTAGGAAATATCCCATTTTATTTTATTAGCCGCCGACAGACTGATGCAAGCTAAGGCTTAATTGAAGAAATTCGCTGAAACGGGGTGTTTTCACCTTCCCTAATTTACATAACATAGTCCTTCCTAAATAAACTCTTAAAATGAAGGTATGATCTTTGTTTACCCGTAAAAAAAATTATGTTAAGAAGGCATGATCCAGCAAATGTTGAAACGTGGCTGAAATTAACTTTTTTCAGTATTTTAATCAAAGCAAATGTGCTGGATATTGTCGATCTATAAGCTTTTTGAAAAATTTTAAATTTTTTATGGCAATCACATGCACAGGTTTAGCATGAAAAATGAGGAGATTCCAAAAATTTGCAACTTGATTTACAACAGATTTTTAGTATTTCTTATAAATTGACAGCACTTGTAAAAAAAAGTGCAACCTGTTAATTAAGTACTCAAAGGCGTAGCTCTGGTCGGAAACTTAATAAAAAAAAAAAACTGCATGAATGTTGTATAGTGCTGGCCTTAACTATATTAGAAAATAAAGAATTGGACTCCTTCTCTGTACCTTCCCCGAAATTTATGACAGATTATAGATGTCTACTTTCACGAAATAATTAGAAAAAATCCGTATATAAAAAAGTGACCCTTGAGACGTTAAAGTTCTAGTTGATCCTCGCCCTTTCTGCCTGTTTAAATCGGCGACCTAACTGGGGTCTATCCGACTGCATATAAACCTTTCAGTATTAACTATAACAATACATGATAGGGTTTCCTTAATTCTTACAATTGACACTTTTATTGGTTCTTAGGTAGCGGGAGGTTGAAATGGAATCTTTTTCATTTGCAGCTTTGAAATTTGTTATCTCAATCTCAGCACGCATCTTCATTTTTCTCCTAGGATGTCTTTCAAGACAAATATTACTGTAAGCAAGAGCGAGGGTGGAAAATGGGTTTGCCGATCAGCAGACTTGGCCTTGATGATTAAATTCATCGATTCAAAGCAGATGCGCGGGTTTCAAAATACCCAATGATTGCGGATCTGCAAAAATTTTTTTGTGGTTCGGAGCATTTTCTATGTTCAGAAGAATGATTTATAGACACCTGAGCTCTGCAACAAATGCACTTGCTTTTACTCGGAAAAACCAAACAATTCCACGTATTTTTTCCTTTTCATCCTTGGATTTTGCCTCGGGTCAAACATTAAAAGCTTTGTTTCCTTTGATGATTAAAAACAATCCAACCTTGCACGACAACTTATTCATTTTTACTTGAAAAGGAAAATATTTACTTTTTTGACGACTGATTTCCTATCCATAATCCACTTGAACATGGATTCGGCGGCAATGTTAAGTAGTATGCCAGACATATATTAGTCTTTTTTCCTCTTTCTGTTTACTATCACGCACACAAGTGCGTTTTTACTTGAAGTAAGACCAGAAATAAACTACTGAAAGAAGGCTAAACGCAGGTCGATATAAAAATTGCGGATCGATTTTCTCATACTGGAAATAAAAGACAAAAATTTTTTAAGAGAGATAACTAATGATTGACTTGTGGTATTAATTATGATATCTCTTCTTGTTGTTGTCAAATCTATTAATTCGCTGCCTTGTACCCAGACCCTACATTTCAGTTACAATTACGCGATAGGATCTGGTACGAGAATTGTTAATTTGATAAACGCAAATCTGAATGAGTTTACGATCGACGCTATGCCACCTAAGTGTGAGGTCACACAGCGTTTGGGGTGAGAGACCTGAGGCGACATGACAAGAAAGGACTTAGCCCTGTTTTATCCTGTACCCAGATCCTAAAGTGCATTAACTGTGACTAAAATGTTGAAGGTCTGTTGGGCATCATATACCCATGTTGGCCAAATGAGGGAGTCGCCTTCCCAAACCCCCTATAGGATTTTCACTACTTAAAATCAATAATAAATGTCGCGTATCTTGTACATCATTGCTCAGGTTTTCCCCTTCAATTTTTTGTCACTTGATTGGAATCATTCCCTGCGCATGGATTCTGGAATTCGATCTTCTGGAGGTGAGAAGAAATGGCAATTCAACCAGTGACAAGGTAAGAAATTCTGTGATACTACTTCAGGTCGTTGAACGAATGAGAATGATAATAATAATAATAATAATAATAATTAAGATAATAATAATAATGATGATGATGATGATGATGATGTTAATAATAATAATAGTTATGATAATGATAATTATGATAATAATAATAATAATAATCATCCTCATCATTATCATCATCGAATCTTTACCCAGGATAACCCTGCAGTACAAAGTACTGTTATCAACGGGGCACTGCTGACTAAGAATTAAAGCTATAAATAAGAATTATTAAGATATGTCAATAGAACATTGAATAAAATACATATTAAGGCAAAAATACGTTAAGTAAAAAGCCGTTAAATAATACAATAAAACTACTAGTAATAATCCTCTAAGGCTTTCCTGAATAAAACTCTAGAATTAATGTTTCTCAAACTTAGGCCTAGTTTATACGTCGCACTACAATCGAATTTAATTAATGGAATTGAATTCGTCGTTCCGTCGACGAAAACCGTGGCGTGGTTTTATGCGTCGAAATCAATAAGATCGAATTTAATTCTCTTCCCAAATGCAGTGCCTCGGGTCGCTGCGGGCTCGCCAAAATAAATTGAAATACATTAAGAAAATGTATGCATTTCATTCGACGCGGCGCTAGTGTGACGTTAAAACTGAAGGCGCGTTATCGATATTTTATCCGTCTTACCAAGACGGATAGAACGTCAAGGACGAATTTAATTTACCAGACGAATTTAATTCGTTTTAGACGTCGCGCTATCGTCGAATTCAATTGCTTGTGGGACCTTGAATTAAATTCGTCTGAATTAAATTCGACTGTAGCGCGACGTATAAACTAGGCTTTAGAAGTAGTTAGTTAAAATAAAAATCGAGGCACCTAAAAAATAAAAGTTATGGCGCGCAAAATCCAGTCTGACCTTTGGTAGTTTTACACATTTCCCATATTGTCTCTAGTGTTTAGAACGTTATGATGTAATCGTTGAAAATCATCTTTAAATGGAAAGCATGCAGTGCCATTAAGGCAGTCAAATACAAATTAGCACGCCCTTTTTTGTAAAAACTTATCAATTGTTAAAAATCGTAGATCACAGTTTTGCGGACTGCATTTCGGGGAAATGATTTCGAGTCTTCCTGTAAATGAATCCGAATCTTATAAATGTCATTGTGACTCAACCAAATTCCTCCAAACCACCACTCCCCCCCCCAGGTGATAAATAATGACCGGTTCCTGAAGAAGGTTTGGTCCATTAACCCGATGGAACAAAGACACACAAACAGGCCACGCCTAACCCAACTGCTAATAAACCAATGATTATCTCTGTACTTTTGCAGCTAAATTCAGACGTACTGATAGTTTCAGCTGAGAGGTGGACAGATTTAATACAACAGACTACCATGCTGATGATGATCCTGGGCCGCTGGCTGCTGCCTACAGCACAAGGCATGACAAAGGACTCCCTCTCGCAGCTCCTCCTTGTCAATTTAGCAATGTGCGCAGATATCATCGAGTTCTTCGACATTCTAAAACTGAGCTTCGTGAAATCTTCTCACACACTCATAGTGACAATTCTTTGCTTATGGACCTGGAGTTTGATGCAGTTTCCATTCAACACCATGTTGAAACTTGACATCGAAGATGAAGGGTCGGACGAGAAAAAGACGGCAAAAAATGTTGATAAAAATTTGCGAGGGAAAAGAGCAATTGTTCCATATGAAGGGGAGCTGGATATGCCTAACAGAGCTTCAATGACGTCAATAGACTTCAGGCAGGCCATTGCTGCCAAGAGAATGTCACGTGACATTCTGCTGATGTCGCATAATTATTCACGTGGATTACCAGCTGGTTATCTGCCAGATTTTCGGCGAAATTCATATCAGCCTCATGTAAGGGACAGTGATTCTCCTGAGCCTAACCTGGACCATATTCAAAATGTCCATACCGAGAGAGGCATTTCAAATGGGCAACCGAGAGGGCCTGGGCGTTTTTCATTAGATGTGGGACAAATGAGAGCGAAAGGCACGACGAGATATATGACGACATCAATGACGTCACCGAATCTCAGGCTTGACCTGAAAGGGCTCCAGGAAGACATGATTCGCTCCAAAGAAAAATCTGCACGAACTAATTCAGCAGGGCTGGAGACAAATGTCGATATAGACGCTGATTTCTCAGAGGAGGAAGAAACAAAAAAGTCCCGTATTACCATAGAACTGTTGGGGATTCTAATGTCTCTATTCATGCAAGACGGACCATTCCTTACCTTTCGCCTATTCATCATCGCCCAGTATCAAGCATATGAATACATGGTGATTTTCTTGACAGCAAAAAATGCGCTGGTCCTGGCGTTACAAGTATACCGACTTTGTGTTCTTCACTGTACGTGCTATGACCATAAGGAGAACGATTTCTCTCCTGAGAACGAGATCGATGCTAATTCTCGGCTAAAGAACGTCCAGGTAGCCATCTCACACGGAGGTAATGAGGAATCCGAGGACGAGTCTCTTCATACAATGGGCTGGAATTTCACAAGGAAATGGCGAAGGAGCTTTAAAAATCCATTTTCTTCCTCGCATTTGTCTGATTCGCAGGTACATTTAGCGCCATGATACGCATGCTCAGCCGCGACGGTGGGATTATTTGAGAATTCATCCTGAAGTCTTATATATATGGTTTGCTGGAAATGATCCCAGAGTCTTTCGAAACGTTGCCATCCCTAATGCGCATGCACTTACTTATCTAGCTAGATTTAACTGGTCATTCAGATCCAATATTTACCAATGAGAGTCGAGAAAGCTCGATCCCAGTATCTGCCCCAGGGCTTCTGTAGCGTATGCGCGACCAACTCGATCTCTGAGGTTAGCTAAGATTGGATCGTAAACAGAGGAGAAAAGCGATGGGCTATCGTGGGCCCGCGAAAGGACACGGCATTTTAACTGTGATAAGGTCATCTGGAACTTTGAGCAGGACTTTGATTACCATCTAGGTCTGGATACCTAAGCACTGATTTCGCTAAATCAAAAATAAAAATTTGCTTGTTGTTACTTTGAGGTCTCACAGACTGCTCTTCGTTTTTCCGTTCATCTATGATGGCCCACTTTGATTACTTTTCTGTCGTTTTACGACACCCACTTGAAAGGCGCTCTAAGAGTAAATATAAGACGTCAGTGGAAAAGGGGAAGGGGGCACTTGTGATCGCTGATGACAACTCACCCTCCCCCGGCCCCGACCTTAGCGATTGCACTTCGAAAATTTGATTCATGTCATAAATTGCAAGGTACTCCTAAATATACCTGGTAAACAATGATAAAAACTGCATATTTAGTTTATCATGATTAGGATATGCCAATCCTGAAATTTGCCTCCTTCTTGTTCACTGAGTTGATAAAACTGATACATCAACTGATTTTTATCAACATTCATGTTTTCACTGGCACTTAAACGACTATAGCAGGACGTGATTAAAGCCATGAAGGCGTGCTTTTGAGCATGAAGTTTTGCATGACAATATTGAAATAGCTAATTACATCATGAAATGGTTTTTGTGTCGAATATTAAAGGCTTTACCAAGAGATTACTGTGATTAAGAGCTTCAACGTAAGTTTGCTGGCATGTGCAATAGTTCACTTGAAAATACAAATGGGCCATAACACCCTGGAAAATGAAATACGAACAACTGAGTTTTAAGGAATTGCTTGATACATTGGAGTTAGCCAAAGATAATTTACGCCGTAAAAAACGAACGCTTGATGATAGCAGAATGCTGTCTAAGTATTCTAACAATAAGCAATAATCCTTGAGGACAAGAGAAGAATTAAGCCAGTTTCCATTACCGGATCAAAATTTTTCAAAGCTAATTTAGCGCGTTATTATTAACTAATTGGTGCCTGACAGAAACTTTGCATCAGGCACGGATAGACGAAATGAAAAATAAAATCTACATTTTTCAGAACTACTTCTATCCTATCTCTTTGGAAAACAACACCCGTAGTCTCAAACTCGATTTAACGCCTACAAACAAAGGTTTAGAAGTTTTAAGCATCTGTATACAATTGTGTACAATTCTGCAATCAATAACATAAAAAAGAAACACGTATATAAGCCAGTTTACATGAACTTTAGCAAAAAGTAAAAGATATGGTTTCCGTTAGTACGGTGATCGAAATCCTTCTTTTTTTACAGTCACAAATGACACTCTTTTTTAGTCAGTCTTTAGGTGTTCTGGCCGTATTTATAAACGCGTCAAGACTTTTTCTCTTGCAGCATTTTTTATTTATTTATTTTTACATTTTTACTAAAGTTTTCTTTTTGATCCTGAGTTTCTGGAGCAAAACTTACAAAGGGATCAGAGGAATCTTAAGGAAAAACACCTTTCGTAAACTAGACGCCATGGTCTTCTCTTTAAAGACTGACGAAGTCTTTTTTTATGTGTGTTCTACTTGCTTGAAGTGAAATTGTGTTTCTCTCTCAACCTTATCATACAACATTCTCCTCCGCTACATTAAGACCTCTTACCACCGTCTATTTAGTCTGCAAGCAGGTTTCCGTGGTTGGGTTTCGACTTATGGCTCCTTTCCGGGCACAGCCGCCTATTACGCCATCGATAGCCACTTGTGGAAAAAGTTATTAAAACCGCTGCCTTCATCCTCTTAAAACACTGAGGTTGAGGAAAACGATTTCTAAACGGCGTGTTCTTATCCAAGTTACTGAGAGGCAGGTAAACTGTATTTCTCTACTTTCACGTGCGGCGAAATTTCGTTACGGACTTGGTCTTGTTATACAATACTCTCAGTTCCTTCTGGCGTTTCTGAGATATCGACAGTATTTCAAGTCTTCGAGGTTATCTAAAACGGATCGTGTCCTTTTCTCGAATTCAAAATCCTTTCCAAAATTTCTAGTAGATAGCCTCTGTGGTCGTAACTGGTGAATTGGGGGTAAGCGAACAGTTGGCGGCAATCGTATGGGTTCATCGTCGGCCTCGATGTTTTCAATAACTGACCCTCGCGTACTTGCAGGCTCTTCGTCTAAAGGATCCAGAGAAGGCTTTGAGTTATCTGCCAAACGAGACTTTCCTGCTAAACCTTCGTTCAGCTTTCGAAGATCTAACAGTGAAAAACTTGATCGTCTTCGCAAAACTCGCTTTTGTTCAAAACTAACAGTGCTAGTTTGAGCTGACGACTCGCTTGAAATGGATGAACGCCGTTGGCGTGTTCGTCCCGGATTTTGTTGTTTCGTGGCTTCCCATTGACCCAAAGTGATACTCGTTTCTCGCCTTCTCGGCGTTGCTATAACCTTGGACACTTCCTCGTAAAATTGGTACGTTCCACTACTTCCCCTGAGTTTCTCTTGATATTTCAGCGTCTCGTTTTTGTCTTTTTCCATTTTACTCTCGGAAAAGAGTCGAATCTTATCCAGTGAGCTTTTCACTATCTCCCAGTTACTATTCAGCTGATTGTTTTGAACGGAAAGTCTTCGACCCAGCTTTTTCGCCCGCAAAAGTGGCTCTTGCTGCAGCTGACTTCCTATCTGCGATAAATTCATGTCAGTGTGACAAAGTAACGTAGAAAGAACGAATTCTAGAGAAGAATATTCCAGTTTTTTCGATTTTACTAGACACAAGCCTTGTACTCGCGACGCCCCGGTTTGTAAACTGAAAGACCTGCTCAATAACAGACGTAGTTCTATTGGAATGGCCTTCATCTAGTTTATTGCCCATAGAAAGTCTTTACAAAAGCGATATTTTCATGCAAATTCACCGTAATGATGGCTTTGTTTCCAAGGAATAAGGTAGTTGAATAAAATGTGTTAACGAGATAAAAGGAGGCAGGACCAAAGCGAATGCTATTCAATTCAAGAGAGAAAGTGTGGTTGCTAAACAAGGTCAAGTGCATGATTTAAGAGCTATTTTTGTCTTTTACACATAGCACAATTACAAAAGTGTTTAAAAGCTCTTTTTCCTGTTTTCACTCTTGCCAGAAATAAGTATTTCATTTGAGTACTGTACAACTTTTGCAGAAAACTTCACAATGGACATCACTCTGCTAAGAAACCCAGTTTTGTATGATTACTAATCGAAAGTGCGCCGGCGTCTTTCGCCTAATTACACATATTCAGTTAATTTTTTCCCGTCTTCTTGGCTCTGGATTTCATTCACATAGGGTTGTTGATAATTACTGTTATTTGAATTTCACAGGCTTCTTTCTAATTAGAACAAAACATGCAAAAGTTCAATGCCACTTGTTTCCAAGATGACGTAGCAGGCCTAAATGACCGGTATACTTTATACCATTACCATATTTGGCATTACCTGAACCAGATGTATTTGTTTCCCTCTATCGTGTAGTTACACTTGGTGCACCTTTACTTGTTATGGGCCCAAAATCACATAAATACAATCATCGTCGCATATACAGTACCGCTCAGCGCAAAAGTGAGTTGACAGATCGTCTGGACTCTAATCTGGAGGATCGAGGCTCAAGTTCAGAGCGAAGACTGTCAACTTACTTTTGAGCGGTACTGTATGGAACTATCTCTTTTATTTTTATTCCGAAGTCAAATTCTTCTTTTTCCCACTTAACATCGGTTTAAAGTATAACTTACCGTTTCTGGTTGTGATTAAGCTGTCACGCGACGAGCACGAGTCATGACGTAATCAATTCCTATTTTTGTTTAATATTCATTAATCATGGTTGGATCCAGGTTCCGACCCGCTAAGATGAGATACGACAAGAACAAAATAACCTCTAACTAATGTTTAAGAATTTAGCCCGAATAGACTATCTCGCGATCTGTAAACATGAGTTCAGAATAAATCTAGTATAATTCTGCCTGGAAACGAAATATTAGCTTTTAAAAGTTAATAACCACGATACAATTGTTAAATAAAGACAGATGATACTATTATCTAAACACTGCGGTGCTGATCGCAAGTAGTGTTGAAATAGTCCAATAGTCCCGGGGGGGGGGGTACTCCCTTATAAGGGCTTAATGGGGACGTGCGACCAGCCAGGGTATGTTTTTCGAGATTTTTGTCTTAAACAAGGTATCGAATTTATCATTTTTTGTCTTAATCAGGGTATCGTTTTATCAATTTTTGTCTTAAACAGGATATCTTTTCTTGAAAGATAAACAGCGAAACTTTTACAAGCTCTAATTGTAATTAATATTGAATTCCGTTGACTTTGGCATTGATACCAGGCACATTGAACGTCTTAAACAGGGTATCAAAAATCGGAATTCTGTCTTAAACTGGGTAGGAAAATCTGCGATATTTGTCTTAAACTGGGTCAGGGTATGAGGAGCCGCGCCGCACCTCCCCACCCAGGAATATATCGAGTACCCCCCCGGGCCAATAGTGTTTCTGTAACCGTCCGCTTTGAGTCAACAAGGCGATAAAGTAAAAGAGCCGCTCGGTTGCTCAAGGAAAAATGTGGTAAGCAGCTTTTGAATGGCATCAACATTACATAGATAAAACGATAACACGATCCATAAAAGAACAGTGGTTTGTAGGAGAAAGGGGAGGGGGAGAATTATTTGGATAAGTTGGGTAGGGATCAATTTGCCATTTTCTAAACGAGCGGCAGTCTGGGTACGATTTGCCACCATAAAGGCTCTTGGGATCGTTTGGAGGGACAGTAAAACAAACCTGTAAAAGAACGAATTTTTCAGTTGCAGCTAAAATCATATTTATTGCCAATCAATTACAAGGGCAATTTATACAGCTTTACAAAGGAAATATACAAATATACAAAACGATCACTATTATGCTGGTTCAATATTTTCATTTCAGAATTGCTGGCTTGTATGAACGTAAATCCATTTCATCTGTCATCTATCAACTCTAATCAATTAATCTATCTATTAATCATTTGTAGTTAAGCAAGTGTTCTGAACACTGAGACAGAGAACCAAGGCAAATAACAAATTCACATTCATTATTTATGGCAATCATAAGAAATAAAACTCTTAAAAGTCTTTGAAAAAAACAACAAAACTTTTATGTTAACTGCATTTCAGCCAATGAAATAAAATTTCCCGGTGATTGCTTCCTTGACAGACAACCTTCACACCTAGACACAATTAGTTGGGACTCTTGAACAACCTCTGTGATGTTCTTTCACCCCTCTCCCTCTTCTATCGTTGTTAACTACCAATGTTTCTATGCCATTAAATGCCAAAGTTCTATTGCATGAACTGCCAATGTTTCTGTGCTAGAAACTACCTATGTCCCTGTGTCATTTGCTGCCAATGTTTCTATGCCATTAACTATTAACTGCTAATGTTTCAATGCTATAAACTGCCAGTGTTTCTATGTCATTAGCTATCAATGTTTCTGAGCATGAACTGCCACTGTATCCACACCATTACCTGCAATTGACTACCAACGTTTCTATGCTATTGGAAGCAAGTGTTTCTCTGCCATTTACTGCCAATGTTTCTAAGCATTAGCTGCCAATGTTTCTCTGCCACTGACTGCCAATGTTTCTATGCCATTACCTGCCAATGTTTCTATGCTATTGACTATCAATGTTTCTATGCCATTGACTGCCAGTCTTTCTATGCCATTGGCTGCCAATGTTTCTCTAGCATAAACTGCCAATGTTCCATGCCATTTACTGCCAATGTTTCTCTGCCACTGACTGCCAATATTTCTATGCCGATACCTGCCAATGTTTCTATGTCATTGGCTGCCAGTCTTTCTACGCCATTAGCTGCCAATTAATGTTTCTCTAGCATAAACTGCCAATCTTCCCATGCCATTTACTGTCAATGTTTCTGTCATCAACTGCCAATGTTTCTCTGCCATTGACTGCCAGTGCTTCTATGCGGTTTCCTGCCAACGTTTGTCTGCCATCTTTCAGAACAACATTAAGGGTGGCAGAGAAGGCAGTTGGTGTCCCAACAATTGTGTCTGGGGTGTAGTTCCCATGGAATAAGATAAAACAACAGGGAGAATTCAAACCTTGATTGCAACAATGCCATGTCAATTGCTGGAGAGACACTAAACATTGCCTACCAAGGACTGTTAATTTTGAAGTTTCATTGGCTGACAGTTGACAAAATGCAAGTATCAAATTTCAAGTAAACTTTCTGAGAGCATAGAAATAATCCCATTTGATAATATTGAGGGTCACTTAAAGCAATTAGCAAAGGAAACGAAACCCCAAAATACAATATTAACCCTTTAACTCCCAGAAATGATTAACATGTAACTTCTCCTTATAATATGAAAAATTATTCAGCAAACAGGTAATGAGAATACTAAACGCTTATCAACTTATCATGTAGTTGTTATCATCATCTAACACCATAGTATTTTAATTAGTTTTAAAAGAAATGTGCCGCAGCATGAGAGGAAAATTAAATATCAAATCTTGGGAGTTCAAGGATTAAATAGTAGGGTAAGTAACCTTTTCACTTTCAGAAGCGATCAGCATGAAATTTCTCCTTACCTAAATATGTTCTTAAAGAAGGAACACAATGAGAAGAAAGAAATTGTGATCAAAGAATATTTCTTGATTCAAAGCTAAATTCGTAGAGCCTATAACTTGTAAAAATGCACAGCAGACATTGAGGAGAATTGATAAAGATATCTTAAGAATAAAGGGACATAAAACCAAATAAGGAAACAAGAATGGTGAAAGACTGGGAAGGAGAGAGATGAGAAAGGATGAGAGGATGGGATGAAACCAAACCCTCACCAACCACAGGCCAAAAACAATCTCATAAGCCTCCACAAGGAGGATTTTAAACTACCAACACCTTGGTAGAATACTTACTCTGTAAATTCAAATGTCTCCCAAAAATTCTCATGTGTTTTGCACTTCACAAGAACTAGTGAAATTTTATAGGATTATCTAAACACCATTTCTTTTGCATTCAGAAACAAAAAGCAATATTACAATTTTAAGAAATAGTCCTATTTTCTGTAAAAGAAACAAGTCTCAGAATTACTTTAAAATTCTATTAGTCACAAGCACAGACAATGAATAATGCTATTAAATTTTCCTATTTCCCCTCCCACCCCACCAAATAATATATAATTTATGGTTTCTGTTTACTCACACCACAACCCACTGTCTCCTTGATTAGGTAACTGTTGGTAAGGTGAGAGCAATAATTATACTTATGGGAGGGGGGGGGGTAAGTAAACTACCCTACTCTACTCGATGCTACATTCTTAATCCTTGCAGTCGTAAAGTCTGAAAGAAAGTTCAAAACAAAAATTTAGTAAAAATCATGAAATAAATTTGTTACCTGCTACCTATCTGTGAACCTTGACAATTCAAATCCCATGGAAAACTTAACAAATCAACAGTGGTTTAGCATGGTCTGTCAGCAACAATGATATTCTTTGTCAGTGGTCAAAATGTTGTGGACTCACGAAGGGCAGATGAGTGATTCCACAACATTTAAACCACTGTGGTGATGGATATTATTGTCAGTAAGAGTAAGACCATGCTGTTTTTACCATCAAATAAAACAATACTTTCAATGCACGACACGTTGCACGACACCTTGATGTGAGCAAAATTTACTGTACTCTAAATATAACTTTAGAAGAAGAATTTGTCCTCAGTATCATTATTTTTCAAAAGTGAAATCTCTCAAAAAGAGCATCCACTGAATATTCTCAAACTTAATTAATGATCCACAGATTTTTTTTGTCACTAGGAGCCTCAAAGATTTTTGCTACTGTATTTATCCGTGTATAAGTCGACCTTTCAAGATCTAAAAATTGGCCCAAAAATTCACCCTCAACTTATACATGGGTCAAACTTAAGATCCAAGCGCCAATCAAATAATTAGCATAATAATTGTCTATCAATGTTAACATGTAATAAACGGCAGCACAGTTTACAGCCTATGTTCACTTAGCAATCTGTTTCACTATATCAGAGCTTCAAGTTAAAATGCATCAACATTTATCATCTGAAGGAACCTTTATTTGGTGGCTCCTTTAGGAGCCACCAAATAAATCAAAAGTCAATGACCAACTGCAGGATTGTTTTTTTCTATAGTTTTCTTCAAATGTTCTGCATGCAGTCGAATACGAAATTTACAAGAACTTTAGTTTTATTTCAGTTACCAATACTCGACCAATTTCGAGGCTTGGCTACCAAGTTCCCCAACACACTCTTTGCACTCTGCTTAGCATGTCATTTGGAAAGAGTCCTGAGCTTCTTTGGTGTTTTGCCTGTCTTATAAAGCCACTTTTTACCTTTACACACTTAAATGGTTTGTTTGAAATCATTATGTTTGATTTTGTGAGCATTTTTCACAAATTATCGTCAAAAAGCCCGCATATACATGTGCTGCTAAATTGGGTAATATGCTCGTGTACGTGCCATAATAAGCTGATTAAAACTTCACATTGAAACTTGCTGTGATCTGTTCACATATCCGTACAAGATAACCTTTCCAAGAAATTCTTAACTGGAAATTAAGAAATCTAGTTTTTGACCTAAAAAATTGGGGGTCAACTTATACACAGGTATATACGGTACTTGACAATACACTTTCATATGCAGGTTTCAACTTCAAAATTACCACTGACAACACCAAAAGCATAGGATATGCAAAATGAGTCATGGGGCTTGTACCTGCTTTTCAAGCTACTGACACATGAGGCCCCAAAAAATTGATCAACCAAGTGTTGATACTGACAAGAGTTTGGAGGATGAAGTAAAAACTTTTAAAAATGTATTCAATCTGCAATGAATCTGTACTAATGCATTGACATATGACACAAAAACTGCAAATCAAAGGGCATTTAACTTCCTCCACTCAACCCCTGAGAATCAATTATTTCATCTGGAACACAAACTTTTGAACAACTTTTAATTTCGTGTCAAAGATATTTCATTTTCTCATTACCTTAGCCTTATCACTTTGTTCAGTTCCAGCTGCCCCTTGTTCTTGTGAATCAGACACATCTCTTGACACAACACATAAAAATTCTGCTTGATCTTCACTACCATAGTTGTAATTACTGCCAACACTTATTAGCTGAAATTGAAGACAAGTATATCTTTGATGGATGGAGAAAAAATCTATACTGTATTCATTCTATAGGTATGCACCTAACCTAAAGGTCCCACCTTGTTTTAGAACCAACAAAATGTAGTTTTGATTAATTGGCAAGAGTACTTTCTGCCATCCAATTCTGTCTGTGATCATAGTTGTAATTAACACTCATATGATTAAAGCGGGTAAGTTTATAAAGAAACTGTGGTGCTGCGTCGGTGGGGGTGACAAGGTAATTTGGTAATATAAACTAAGTTGAAATTGTAAATTGGCCACCGTAAAGAGTTCAAAAGCTGACGTTTCGAACATTAGCCCTTCGCCATTTGCTCTGATAAAGGGCTAACACTCGAAACATCAGCTTGTTAACTCTTTACTCATATGATTACATACCAACTCAGATTCCACTCATGTCTACTACCATTACAAATCTCTGTGGTACAATGCATGTTAATGTATTTCACTACTTGTGGAACTTCTATTATAGAAGTAACTGACAAGCAACAAACAATATTTCCTAACTGTTATCAGAGGCAAAATAAACTATTCCTTGCTTTACAACTGAAATCATCTCAAGGAAAGAGCTCTTTAGTTAGCTTAAAGCTAACCTGTTCAAATCTCCAACCATCTGACATCGTGGATACCATCTGAGTGAGTTCATCCTCATGGCACTGCAGTACTCTGTATACATGTTTCTTTGATTGAAGCTGATGAGGAAATGTTACCAAATATTGAAAACAAAGATTGCTCTTGTCCATGGGGATAAAATATCATGTACTGTTATACCAATTAAGTGTTGAGTGTTTGTCTCAAAGTGTGATAACCTCCAATTATTGCATCTTTTGCAGCACTGTGGGAAAGATGAAGCAAATTCTGTGTTTTGATTGGCTACCCGAGTGGGCAAGATGGGCCTATCTTGCCACATGTGATTACCTGCGTTGATCTCATGCATGAAAAAAAAAAATTAGACCTACTTATGTAATTCTTGGACAATTTCTACCATGGAAATGCAAGAGGAAGCAGACAAAGAACGAAAAAAAAGAAAACAGAAATGAATCTCATGAGTTTGTTGTGCTACAAACACAGTTGGCTTTCTTTCCCAGCTCTTGGAGTAAACAATGCAAGTCATTTCTCAATTCTCAAAAAAGCCACATCTTTTTGCAATATAATAAATCCTTCATTAACCAAGCTTGTTTGATCAAAATGGCTAGATATCAGCATTATTCTTTTTTCACATTTTTATGGATCTCAAACTTTATCTCAGTCCATAAAATGCAAAAAAGGAACTCTACCAATATCCAACCATCTTAACTTCATGCCTGGTTAATAACGCATATGTCATGACATTTTCATGGTATACACACACCTAGTCATCTTCTGTTAATGAAATGTCCGTTTGTGTGTCACCACATAAACAATGGCCTCCATTTAGTGTGAAAATGTGTTTAAATATTTGCTTGCAGATGTTACACCTATACTAATCTGTTCCAAGAAGCGAACAGTTTTCCAAGAGCAAAGCTCAAGGGAAACTCTGAGTTTTGAGGAACAGATAATGTCCAATGAGAAATATCCATGCATATTTATGCACCTAATAGAGATTTCTATGTTTATCTTCCTTCAAATATTTTTGGAATGTGCGGGATAATAACAAAAAACAAAAGGAGGAGCAGAATGGACATTTCAAAAACATGGATGTCCATGAAAGGAACCACAAGTAATTTTGAAACCTTCACCAAAGAGGAAAAAGGAAACAACTTACTGGAAGCTTTTGCCGTGCCTCTCTTGACTGTATCCTGTCTTTAATTATCTTAACAAGAGGGTCAATATTATAAAATTCTGCTTCTTCTAATACACCTAAAAGAAATACAAAAATATTTCAATATAGTAATTCTTATGCTTTTCTACAAAGTTGTTAGTGGGAAATACTGTATTGTGTGACGAATTTGATCTATGCATGCCTATAACCCTTTAACTCCCTTGAGAGACCAAGGCAGAATTCTCTATACTACATCAATAAAACATTAAGTAGAAAAGTAATGAGACTAACGAAAACTATCAATTAGGAGATTGTTAGTTGATCCAATACCAAATTCTCCAAACTAACATCACAAGAATTGTATGGCAGACAGTTAGGAGAATTACTGATGAGATCTTGGGAATAAAGGCTTCCTAAGGGACTCCAGCTGCCATGAGGTGAAGCTGCTGTTCACATAGCACTACAGGCTCACTAAAATTAGTTCCTCTACTCTTTGGAAGAGAGACTACTTTTTTCTTGACTCTCTTTCATATTGTTCCTGTCATAAATTAGTTTTCAAACCAACACATTTCAGATGAATGAAACATTGCTTTCGATGAAGTTTCTAATCAGAGAGAACAGCTATCATTCACAAGTCATGTAAATTAGTTGAATTTAATGTAAGCCATCTGTTTGCATTTAAATGATGTGTTTAAATGGACTGCTCTTTTTCTTAGTGAAACCTCAACAGAATATTCCTTTAATTTGTTTACTTTGCAGAAAATTACTAGTTAGAAAGTCGAGGGTCCCTTACCAGGTATAAATCCTTCTAACAGACACCATTGCTTTGGATAACGAAGTCAGAACTCGCCGATTATCATAAAATGTTCAAGCAGCGCTTACCAGAAATTCACGCTTAAATTTACCCAAGATGCAACGAAACATTCTATTTAAGCAGATTTCCCCATTTCAAAACTTTCTAGTAAGCGATCAATTCTCTTTTAAATTCCCGGAGATCTCGTAAATGCAAGTTTCTGCGAGAACATAAACAGAACTGACAAGGCGGGATCATACAAGAATTCGAAGTTCTGTCATGACAATTGGTAAACGCATGTTTACTCTTGGAGATGTTTAGTATGTATTTTAGCGTACACTCTTACAAAGCAGTGAAATGAGCTGACACTTGAGCCCCCCATGCGTCAAAAGAGATTTTCAAAAAGAATAAAACAGCCGAAGTCAACAACACTCGTTCTTCACTGCATATACAAGATTTGAATGAGTTCTGCATACGTGAAATAGGTTGAATTCTTTCGAACGAAAATTAATTTATTAGTAGCATACTCTCTCCACAGCTCAAATGAAGACTTTGTGAAACTAGAGCATAAAATAAGGCATTTACCGAGAGAACTTCCAAGCCCATTCGCTTCAAGCTAAATGTTTACATAGCAAAATGCCAAAAGCGAGGTGAACTTCGAACCAAGCATCTAAAATACGTTAACTTTCAGTGTTCTCACCTTCTTCTAGGAGGTCTTTATCGATTATAAGTTTGCCATGTCGCAGATAGTTTAAAACAGGTCCAAAATAGCGAGGATCTCGATCTATCATATAAGCACCGCTGTCGTCCTGAAATGTCAAAATGCCTACTTGTTTAGAAGGGTTGAAAATTTCACAAAATTTCGACTGAAATGCTTTTTCTCACCTTGTCCGAGGGTAAATCAGGATCTTCTGCACAAAGCCTGTGTAAAAAGGAGTTAGGATGTCTACAAAGCGTTTGTTTTGTCGTTAAGAAGTACGTTCCACCGACATTTAACTTCACCCAGTTGTTACTTGGAGTAGCCATCTTGTACTCATCATGTTATGAAGATGAATTCGCCGAAAGATAATAATTCGGTAAATCGTATCGATTGGTCGGCGGCTGTGCTAAAAATAGCTTTCTAAATTTAGTTTCAGTTAACTTGGGCACATTCACCTGGCTTCCTTGATCTAAATCTGTAAATTCCCAGCACAGAAAAAGCGTTTTGAAAAAGAAAACTCCGCTGACGAGGGCTTCCGATGATTTCCGAAGGATTACGACAAAGGACTACAATTTTTTGAACGCCCACGCAAAAAATGTAAAGTATTGCCTTTGGAGTAGTGTACAGCTGCAAAGGAAAAAATAAGTTTAAATTCTCCTTGAAGTCTTCATCGAGTGCATTTTTCTTTTAAATTATCAAAACGAAACGTCTGAAGCGTGTAAAACTCTCCATAAATTGACATCGTATAGCAATTCTGATCGGTTTTTGGTAAAAAAAGGGTTTGGTCCTTAAAAATGTGGTCCTCATCTGAATGCAAATGACGAGTGGGCCACAAAAAGAAAAAAAAAAAAAAAGTAATCAACCGAGCTTTCTCTAAAAAGATTTTATTTCACAGGTATTTTGAATGTATACGGAAGATTAGGAAAAAAAGGTACAACTTTGTTTGTATGAGACTTTTATGGTCATCGATCATTTATTCGTAGAATCTATAAAAAATAACTAGGGCATTAAAAATAATAAGTTTTGTGAATCGCGGAGTCATGCAAAAGTTTCTTTCACGGACCAAGGGATAAAAATAAAAAACCCCAATTTAAAAATGACGGCTATTTTTCCGTTTCACTTAAACAGAGAGCAGCTGATGCTCTGTTGAACTGCCTGAAATGGGTTTTAACTGAAAAGTATACCAGGTGGCTCTGCAGGTGGACCTCAAATGTGTGGGCATGTCTTACAGATCCAATGATTATTTACTCATTCGTGCACAGCTAATCTTTTTTTTTTTTTTTTTTTTACCTTCTGCATCACCCTCCCACTTATCCACCTACTTGGATTCAATATCTATTTTTAAGAACGGGGGAGGTAAAACCTTGTCACAATTTCCCCTCGGTGTTAGTGATGTTTTAATCAAAAAATTTTAACTTGGTTTTATCAACTAAGTTGAAATTGTAAATTGGCCACCGTAAAGAGTTAAAAGGCTGACGTTTCGAGCGTTAGCTCTCCGTCAGAGCGAATGGCGAAGGGCTAACGCTCCGGAAACGTCAGCTTTTTAACTTTTTACATTGGCCAATTTAAAATTTCAATTTAGTTGATACAACCAAATTACCTTGTTACCCCACCGACGCAGCGCGACAGTTTCTTTAGAAACTTACCCCTTTAAAATTTTAACTGACGTACCTGCTCCTATGTGACCGACAAAAACCATTACACAAAATTTGAGAATTTTCAAGGAGGTAATAAGTGAAGCGTACAAGTGATAGTACTTTTAGATCTTTCCGACTCTTCATTTTGAATAGTATGTATACATTTTGTTTTTAGCAGTGAGGAGGACTGAATAATGTATAATTTATCTCCTTCATTTGACTTCACTCACGACTGAAAATTCTGGGCAAGTTCAAGAGCTGGGCTCCTAGTAAAATTAATACTGCATCTTTGGAATTCAGAAATGGAAGCCAGTAGTGAGGTTATCATTTTACTCTCCGCTGAAATCTGGTACTCACGCATTGCAGACTCCGTGACATTAATTTACCCACACAGTTTGCATGAAATTTAAAATTCTGCGGGATTCATCCCAGAAAATGAGACTTATTAGGATACATGTATCTGTATGTACTCAGTACTCAGTACACGTAGAACCTGGACTCCCAGTGCCCCACCTTCAGCGTGCAAACCGTGAATCCTCTGTTAACCCTCCCCCTCTCTGAATAAGCCACCCCCTCCAATAAGCCCCCTATCTTAAGAGGAAGAAATTTATTAAGTCCCCCTCTGTTGCCCCACCCCTCTCCCAACCTCGTTCCCAGGGCCTTTTCCCGTGGTTGGGGGTGGAGTTAGGGTGGGGCGCCCAACTAAGGGAAAAGGCCCTGGGAACGAGGTTGACCCCTCTCCCTCAAAAATAAAAAATTCAAAATAACATTCCATGTCAGTAAGTACGATAAATATATTCAAATGCTGTAATTTTAGTTTGCCTTTTAAAATCGATTATGGTGATTGCTTGATTGATTGATTGATTGATGCCATCATGTTGGCGTTAGTAGAACACGGTATACGGAAATTACAGAGCGATGCTAAACAAGATTCATTGAGAGAGTTAGATCATAAAATTGAGTTCTTTATTGTCGGCTGCTTGACTTCCAGCTTCATGTGCTTAAGTTTTTCCACATTTCGCTCTAGTTCTCTGTGGAGAATCGTTAAGGTCTTCCGGTTATTCGCAACTGCAGTATACCGCCTCGGAACCACGAGCTCAAGAAACCTTGCTCCTGAAAGTGAAAAGTCAAACTTTCAATATTCACGAGATGTAAATTTGCACAACAGGAACGAAAGCTCTATCGACAGATGTCCAACTAGTTGTAGGTTTTGAGAACTGCTTGAGGGATGAATTCCAACATCAAATTCATTATACAACTTAGCTTCTTCTCTTGTATCATGCTTAAAGAAAAGCTTTTCTCCGGCCTCGGGCCTCCAAACTCTTTTGTAGATATGGCGATCACGGCCAACAGACTCGAACTCGCAACAGTGGAGATAGACAATGAATACTCCTTGCGTCCTTGCCATGAATGTTTGCACAAGACGGTAGCTTTTCAGCGCAGGGTCAAGGGAAATTGCATCTCTCGTGTTAGCATTGTTTTTTCTTGACGATGTGATGCATAGGATGAGTAACTCCTATCGTTTGAGTCTTATGTGTTACATTCCTAAATAATAATAATAATAATAATAACATTAATAATAATAATAATATAGTTTATTTCTGACCACTTGCAGCCTGAGGCTGAATTACGGGTGCGGTTTTAAGGTTGAGAACAGACGTCAGCATATCAGGCGCCTCTGGCAGCCGCTTCAGTCCATCGATCTCACCTTCCCACCCATCCCACCCCTGGGGAGGACATCCATCACACAGTAATCTCGTGTGTGGGAAATTAACGTCTCCTATCCGAGAAGACTAGAATATCTAACCATTTCTTGATGTTATAGAAAGGTAGCAAATTCTTCTCAACTATTTTAAGACCTTGAGTGTTGGTCGGGCCGGGGCTCGAACCCTCGACCTCCCGCACAACGTGTACAGTCCAGCGCACTATCCATTGGGCTAATTGGGCGGGGGTAAAGCTAACTTATGTAGACCTTTGATCTTTATTTGTTACTCAATCTTTGTCACAATCTTTGACCTATGTATAACTGTGAGTACAGTTCACTCTGTAATAGAGCAGGTAGGGTTATTTAAAATCGAAGAGCACTAGATGGATTCAAAGGCGAGAAAGTGCGGTCATATTCTGTCCATTTCGAGTGGGAGGTAATTGACTACGCGGAAGCTCAGTCGATTCATACTGTATCAACGAAATACAAAATTGATCGTAGCAGCGTACGAGACTGGAGACAGAAACGACAAAAATTGGAGGAGATTAAGACCGAAAAATCTCGGGGCGGAAGAAGACGAAGACTAGATGGCGGCGGATGACCTATGATTTCTTAGAGGATTTTTGATCGACGTGGTAAAGGTCTCAGGGTGTCGAGAAAACTGATCATGCTTAAAGGTACAAAAATCGATGAAGAAAAAGAGGTTCCGAACATTGACCAGTTGGGATTTAGCCACGGATGGCTTGAAAAGTTTATGTCAAGGACTGTAAGGCCTCGCACAACCGAAGCCCAAAAACGTCCTGATCAACTTGTTGACAAGCTCTACTTTACATCATATCCTATTGTATCCTGATAGTGAACATCAGGCGAAGCCCCCTTCGTCTATAAAGCGCCCCTCTGATAAGCCACCCCCGCAAAGTACTTGAAATGAATAACCCCCCGGGGGGCGCATTAGAGAATATTTACGGGATCTATTTACGGAACCTGCCTCACAGTTGGGAAAACTTTTTGTCTTGAAAACGAGGCTTACGTTTCGCGCGTTGCTTGAAGTCGCGAACTCTTCATGTCGTTGAACTTTCGAAAAAGAAGAAAAAAATAGTTTTGAGCAGCATTTGATTTTGCAAGGAAGCCATTTTAAAACAGCCTTAAACCTTCGAAAGCCATGAGTAAAGGCCGAAAACAGCGGATGGATCGCACTGTAAATGTGTCAACGCAAGGTAAGATTAACCTGTGAATTTCAAACTTAACTGTTAATTTTGATTTTCATATCACAACAAAATTGAAAGCAATGTACATGTTACAAGCTGCACCATGAAACATAGTACTATATACTATGTTTTCTGACATGCTTTCTATGGTGGCTTTCGTTGCATTTTTTTTTTCTTTTTTTTTTTTTGAGGACTAAGATTAACGCGATCATTACCAGCCGATGGAAATTCTTGGCGTTGCTACAAAACGAAATTTTTAGCCTTGCCTAACAACCTTAAAAGTTGTTAGTTTTTCAGTTTTGCCAGGTTATGTTATGTCCGATCCTGTTCACATTATTTGTATTGATAGTTTAAACTTTGAACGATTTTTTTGTGTTTAATTCTGGTTAGAAAAATTGGCTTGAAATTTTTGCACCTGCGAAATAAATATTTTGTGATGATACATTCTCTAAAACCTGATCATGACTTTTTCTTTCATATTAACATAAGATACTCCCAAGAGACGCAGTACTCCTCGCTCAGCTGGCAAAAGGGAATCTCCAGAAATGGAGAAACGACAACGTTCTCGAGTGGTCAAGCGGCCAAGTGTAAGCCAACAGCAAGATACTTTATTCAGTGATGATGACAGCGATCCGTTGGTCCATTGTGATAACGATCAAAATATCACTAATGACACCCCAACATTTGAAGATAAGCCGGAACACTTGTATGGTAAGAAAAGTGACAGCTCATATTTATTATTTAGTGCCCTAATTTGATAGAGTTGTCAAAGAGGAAGAGAATTCAATGATGTTGTTAGCATGTACACAAGGGTTCTGCTGCAGAATCGAAAACTTTGTCTTTGCTTTGTACAAAAGGGAACTTCTATTTGTTTAGCTTAAAGATAAGGAATTTGCTGCTCTCATGAAATAACTTGTATCAAAACACTACATTAACCAAATGTTGTGCAGAGTAAAGACAAAAGAAGGGTTTTGGTTCAAGTAAAACACATTTCACACAATTTTCTCTAAAACAAATTATGTAGAACCCATCTAAAAGACTATGAGCCTAGAAAAGGAACCTTGGACAGAGTATGTCTATGAGGCCTATTACAGTGAGTTGCAACCCCCCCCCCCCTCACTTGTGGTAGATAGCAAAACCCAGCCATAATTGGGCTGGAAGGATCAGGGTCATGATTAGAGCCCTTCTCTCAAGAGGGGTCATGGTATGTCATTGGTAGGCAAGACATAAATGCCTTTCGATCTCCGCCCAGGAGTGTAATTTGGTATTAGGGAATTGTTAAGGAAGTCTGACCAAATGCTGACCAAGTATAATCTGAGTGAGTTAGTTATATTGGTTACTGCAACATGAGGAAAAGACCTGAATTGAACTTTTCAGGCTTAGATAATCCAACAAAAGTAGTGACAGAAGGCAAAGATGAAAGTGAGAATGCCCAGGCCAAACCTATAACTAAAGTATGTAAAATGATCCTTTTATAAGTTCTCTGACGTAGCTCTGAAAGAGTTTGGTTTCTTGTTGTGTAAACTATTTGTAGTTTTTTTTTTGCCTTCATTCAATCCCAGCTGCATGAGTAGAAAGCAACCGGTAACTGCAGACGTTTTGAACTTAGAGGGACCAGATCAAATTAACCAGGAAGAAAACATACCATTTCCTTCTTGGAATTGACTGGCCTTGTGTCATTGATCTACCTTGTCCCATTCCTTTCTTGGACTTGTTCCATAAAAATCAGGGGAAAAACAGACTTTCTACTGAATACTAGCTGGGTGCTTTGAATTGTCCAAAGAGAATTAAAAGAATGATTTGGTTTTGGTAGGTGATTGTTGTCAGATTGTCAGTGCTATTTAATTAGGAGTTAGGACTTGGTGTTTCAGTATCAGAAAAAGCTATCCAATGTTTTATTAAGATATTTTATTAATAATATATTATAGCTACAAAAAATGTTGTTAAAGGAAATTATCTAGAGTAGGGGTTGACAGGACAGCAATCGATAGTAGTGTTGTTGGTTGCATAAGAAATTCTTTAGGCATCTGTAAATAAAGGAAAATTTATATAACTGATGATTGATTTGTTCATTTACGCAGCATCTCAGGAAATGTTCAGCAGTTTTCATTGTTTGTCTCTGCTTAATTTTTCTGGTGGCTTTGACTGGATTACTCTCAGACCATCTGAACCAAAAGGTAACTTAAGACTCTGCTTTATTTTACCTTACCAGCAATAAGGAAAACTGAAATTTGCAAAAAAAAAATAATAATAATTAAATCTTGAAACAAATAGGAAGCTTGATTGCTCTCTCCCTTCTAATAAAAAATCATTGCTGGGTTATTCCTTTCATTTCACTTGTCCGGTAGTCTTGCAGACTTTGTCCTGAATGCCAATGATGATGTCAGTCTGTATATTCTCCATTCTGTTCTCTTTTACATTTCCAAAGGTGCTGACAAAGAGAATTTGTTTAACAATCAAAACCTTTTTAGTTAGCAACCGTTTCCATTGTCATGACCTTCATGTGTGATTTGCAGATGATATTGTGAAGGGAAAGTAACTAACTAACTAGTCAGTCAAATTAGGGTTGAGGAGAAAAATAAGTTTGGATCAGAAAGAGAGCCTTGTTCCCTTAAACCTTGCAGCTATTTATGGTTAGATGCAATTATAACATTTTGAAATTCTCACAGAGATAAGGTGGAAAGGACAATAAAAAAAACTTTTCAACCACAAGTGTTTTTTTTTAAATATGCCATCTCAAGATTGTCATTTATTGAACAGCAACAGCATGGAGATGATAAAACAGAAATAACACTGTTGAAAAATCGCATTCGTAAACTGGAACAAGCACAGTCCAATCAAGGCATACAATGTAAGTTACTACTTTACAGGGGTAACTGTGAAGAAATGCCAGCTCTGTCTGTACTGTAAAGCACTTTTCCAAGGTGGGAATGGAGAGGTTGTATCCCTTTCAAACACA